GAGTTTGGATCTTCAATGATGTTCCATTGATCTATGTGTCTATTTTTGTGCCAGTACCATGCTGTTTTTATGACTATGGCTCTGTAGTATGCTTTGAGATCTGGTATAGTAATCCCCCCACCATTGCTCTTTGTGCTCAGGGTTGCTTTGGCTGTCCGGGGTCTTTTGTGCTTCCATATGAATTCAAGGATGCATTTTTTGAAGTATGTCACAGGGATTTTGATTGGTGTTGCATTGAATCTATATATTGCTTTTGGTAGGATGGTCATTTTAACAATATTAATTCTTACAATCCATGAACATGGGAGGTCCTTTCATCTCCTGGTATCTTCCTCAATCTCTCTCTTTAACGATTTAAAATTTTCATTGTAGAAATCTTTTGTGTCTTTCATCAGATTTATTCCAAGATATTTTAATTTTTTTCCAGCAATTGTGAATGAGAGCATTTCCCTGTATTCCTTCTCCAATTGCTTGTTATTGGTGTGTAGAAAGGCTACTGATTTTTGTAGATTGATTTTTTAACCTACCACTAAACTTTGCTTCTCCTTCGCATCTCCCATTCATGATTCAAGGACTTTCTTCTCCCCTTCAAGACAAAAGTTATGCAATTTGGGAGTCTTTTAGATAGACCCACTGAAGGGGTACTCCAAATGCCTCACCTTGCGTCCCTGTTCAGTATGGAAGAAGCCAGAGCAGTCTGAATCCCTATTCTTTATTGGCAATTTGGGTAACCTCTTAAGAGGATGGTGTGGTAGAATAGGAGGTAGGAATTGCTTTTTTTTTTGTTAAAAGTATTTGGGAACTTGTATCTAATCCTTAAAAGATTTTAGGGTTTCCTCTTCAGAGGGGAGAATGTTGGGAGGGAGAGAGTGGGCATGGATTTGATCAAAACATCTTATATGCATGTATGAAATTCTCAATAAAGTTTTTGTAAAAATTAAAAACGATTGGGGACAGAGGAGATGGCTCAGTCTACAAAATGTTTGCTGTGCAAGCATGAGGACCTGAGTTATATCCCCAGAGCACACATTAACAAAAGACAGGCATGATGTTTCATGTTTGCAGTCAGTGCTGGGGATATGGAGGTCGGCAGATCCTTGCAGCTTGTTGGTCAGCTAGTCTAGTCTACTGTATGAGTTACACGTCCCAGTGAAAAGCAATGCGTCAAAAAACAAAGTGGATGGTGCTTAAGAAATAACACTTGAGATTGACCTCTGGCTTCCATATGCACATACATGCACTGACATGAACACATACACATATGTACCCACACCTACACCCACATCCACACACAGCTTCTCTAACGGGGCCATTCACACAAAGATATTGGAAACAACTCACAAGAAATGATGTAACAAGGGCTGGAGAAATGGCTCAATGGTCAAGAGCACTGACTGCTCTTGTAGAGGACCTGGGTTTGATTCCTAGCACCCATAGGGCAGCTAACAACTGTCCATAACTCCAGTTCCATGGAATCTGACTCCCTCATCTGACCTCCATGGCCATTGCACGACATGAGTGTACCTACCTAAATGCAAGCAATACACACACACACACACACACACACACACACACACAATAAATAAAATTTTTAAAATGATATAAGAGATGCTGAAGTTTTATGTCCAACACCCTTATTTAATGAAATGCCAAGGTATCTCCACAGAGCCACAGGCAAGATACTCTAGTATCAAAGTGGCCAGTCAGAAATAATGTATTAATGTTGTTCATATTAAAGGACCATTTCTAAAAGCATAAAGCAGAGATGGCTGGATTAAAAATTGAATAAACATCTCACCTTCGCTGTCACAGCATTCTAGGATGGAAGGATCTTCTCGAATCACAGCCGTCAGAGCGTTGACATCTCCATTAGATGCTGCCTGATACACCATGGTCAGGTCGACTTCCTCAGATGAGTCACCTCCATGAATCAAACAGAAACTCAGTGTGTGGAGTGAACTCACCCAAAGGATAACAGCATTCAAATTGTCACCCACACAAATGATTCACTAGGCCTCTCTAGTGAATCCAGGCAGAGGCTGAGTCAACCTAATCCCATGCTCCTTTGCTACTCCTGGAGAAAGATGGGCCACTGGGAATCATGTGCAATACCACCGTATGTTGGAAAGGAGCCTTGGGGGTTAGACACTCTTTGAAATGTTGTAACTTTCTTTACATATTCAGGTTCCACCAAATTAGTAACCTCTTCCTGGTTTCAGGTTACCCTTTTTTATCTGAAGCATGCTGCTTGTCTTTATAATTTGTTAGTTGTTGTGAGACAGGGTGTCTTGTAGCCTAGGTTGGTCTTGAACTCTCTGTGTAACTCTCCATGACCTTGAATTTCTGGTCCTCCTACATCCAGCTCTGAAGTGATGACATCACAGATGTGGGCCACCATGTCCAGTTTTACTCAATTGCTTGGGGATTGAAACCATGTGCAATTAGGTAAGTGCTCCACTAACCGAGGTATACCCACAGCCCTATTAGGAACTCAGTTCACCCATCTTTGAAAGAAGCATTATGCTCCTCTTTTTCTTCCAGAGCTACACTACACCTTTTCGTGCCTTCCTTTGTATGCAAGGCTGACCTTTGCTGACTATATCCCCAGATGCTCTTGCCCTCTTGCTGCCTATGGGAGGCACTGGCAGACTGGGAAGGGGGAAGATGGGGCCATCCTCCTGTCAGCTCAGCGGTCTAGCAAGAGCTGCCTCCCTTCCACTGGGAGCTTTCCCTCAGTGGATCTGGCTCTCGTTGGCCCCACCTGTAAGCTTAGTAGTAGGTTTTCAGTGGTGTTCATCTGTGGTATTTTGTCCTTGGATCCCACCTCATTTTTTACAGTCTCCTTTCATTAAACCTGTTTATTTTCAACCACCTGAGGTTGTCACAGATGCTATTTCTAGAAGAAATAGAGATATATGCAACTGCTTTGAGTGAGGCAGTCAGTCACCTGTATGCCTCTGTACCTTTGTATACAATTTAACCAGATGATTGTACTTCCAAGAGGGACAACAGACTGTGGGTTAAGGAACTCCAGGAGAGCACAGAGAAGGCTAGGAAGCAAGCGCTCTCATGGAAACCCTGGGTGGGAGGCTGTGTCAAGCTTCTCTGCTGGCTTCTCCTAAGGCTGTTTTTCCTCATAAGTGTAACTGATACTCAGGAAAGAAAAAGAGAGAGAAATTTTTAAAGTTGTTTTTCTTCTACTGTGGACATTATGCCCAAGCCACCATTTTAGTTCTTTGACCTTTAGTTGGCAGGAGTTCTAACCTTTTGGTTTGGTTTCTCTGTCCCAGTATTTCTGAGAAATCATTAATGATTTTTAACTGGCTAACTTGTTCCAGGACGAGATTGTACCTGAAAATGATTTGCTTATGACAGCACTGTTTTGTAAAGTAAATGGCTGCTTTCTAACTTGTCCATGTTTTTTTTTTGTTGTTGTTGTTGTTGTGTTTTGTGCTTTGTTTTGAAGCAGATTTGCTTGTCTAATTGCATCGGAGGTAAGGGTATCAGGACAAATGCCACTTGTGTGGTCAGTCTGAGGACTTGAGCTAGATGATTTGGGAACAAATTGTGCTTGTACTAACCAAGTGTGCGTGAGTGTGGGCCAGTCACCTTCGCTGGGGTGCGTTTTCTTATCTGTAAAATGGAGCTGATGATGATGAGGCTAACAACTACGTACCTTAGAAGGCTGTTGTGTGGAGGGAATGAATTAATACTAATCCTGTGTGCTTTTGGAGCCACCTGGTATTTAGTAAACATTGTAAATACTTTGCTACCACTCCCACACCAGTTTAAAATTTTGGCATATATTTAAGAAGGGCTCTTGTTGACAAGGCTAATAAAGAATCCATATATTGAGTGAGAGATGGCTAAGTAGTTAAGAGCACCAGGTGCTCTTGCAGAGAACTGGGGTTTGGCTTCTAGCACCCACAGGGCAGATAACAACCATCTTTAACTCCAGTTCCAGGGGATCCAAAGCTGTCTGTCTTCTAGCCTTCTAGGGCATTACATGCATGTAGTGCATTTAACATACGTAAAGGCAAAACACTCATATACATAAAAAAATTTAAAATCCATGCATTGCTCAGGATACGAACTTCATTATAAACCTCCCCATGAGTCTGGACACTTTGCTAAGATGATGCCCCAGATCTCTTGGGACAAGAAATAGGGCCCATACTTAAAAGACAGGCGTGGTTTCTGGTTATATGTGCATATCCAAAAATACTGGTAGTGGCACCTTGGAAGATTCTGGGTGGGCTAAGGAGCTGCTAAAGGTGACAGCAGAACTGTGGAGTTTTCTATTTGTTTGTTTTTGTTTGGAGACAGGGTCTCACTAATGGAGCCCTAGCTGGCCTGGAACTCACAATGTAGACCAGGCTGACCTCCAATTCATGGGTGATCCTCCTGCCTCTGCCTTCCAAGTGTTGAGAATATAGGTATCTGCGATCATACCCAGCCTGAACTGTGTTTTTTGTTTTTGTTTTTGATTTTGGGTTTTTTAAAATAAAGTATTTTAAAAATTCTTTTTATTTTATATGTATGAGTGTATTGCCTACATGTATGTAAGTGCACCCATGGAGATCAGAAGAGGGTGTCAAATCCCCTGGAACTGGAATTATGGATGGTTGTTAGCTGCCTTGTGAGTGCTGGAAACCAAACCTGGGTCCTCTACAAGAACAGTCGGTGCTCTTAACCACTGAACCATTTCTCCAGTCCCTGGTTTTTGGTTTGTGGAGACAGCGTCTCACTATGTAGCACTGACTGACCTGGAACTCACTGTGTAAACCAGGTTGGTCTCAAACTCACAGAGATCCACTTGCCTCTGCCTCCTGAGGACTGGGATTAAAGGCTCTTGCCACCAAACTGGCAAACTGCATTTTTTATAGTCCATATATTATATTATAACATGTTCGCACATTGTTAATGACTAAATGCAACAAGCTATGTAAGGCACACTCATCACAATGCCCCATAGAATTAAGATCCCCCAAATATTTTGTTGAAGGATCTTAATAAGACCACATTTAATGTGCAGTGTATCTGAATCCATAAAATATGCAGTAGCACTCATTGAATAGTGACTGAATCTCTCTTTTCTGTTGCTCAGCCTTCCCTCATGCTGATGTTAATCTGATTGCTGTCTGGGGACCATCCTGCTCTACTTTCAGCCCACTGGCTGATTCAATTGTATTGATTGCATCCTGATCAGGAGGCGGAGTGTGAGACCTATAACAAAGCTATTCAGCATTTACATCATCCCCACCAAGGCAATGGATTGGGGCTGTGACCCGATTAGAGTCTATAAAAAGCAAACACATTCTGGTGGGGGCTGTTGAGCGCAGTGCTCTCACTTTGTCCCAGCACCCATGAGTCTGGGAGCTTGGTCTCAGTTTCTGGACAGAAAACTGCATTTGAGAAGAAAAAAATGAAACAAAGGGAAAAGCAGAGCTGGGTAAAGAGAAGGAAATAGGTGAGACCTATTGACATCATTTAAGCCTCTGCACCAAGTCACGCCTCAGGCCAGCAGAATTTCTAGAGCATTCACATATGCCAATAAATTCCTTTTTATTTCTTGAGTCATTTAACATTATCTTGTGCCTTTGTTTTGATTTGTTTTAAGTCTGTGAAACAGTCTTAACCAAGGACAGGTTTTAGCAGTGGCACATGAGAAAAGAACTGAGAGTATTTGATGGACAGTTAGCTCCATAGGAATTAGTGATGTTTAAACAGTGGGGAGAGCTCTGGCTACGTTGCTGATTGATGGTCTCATAACCACACTGAGGGAGGTGCTAGGTCTTTTCCATTCTTATCTGGTCAGTGTTCTACTGAGATCTATAGCCTGTGGATTAAATGGGGCTACAGGGGGCTGGAGAATATTTGGAGGAGAATGGCCAAAATGAGATACCAGTGACCTTCATTCATGCCACATGAATGTCTGAAATAAATACATGTGTTTGTTCTGGAGAGGTCATGATACCAGTCTTTAGATATTTGAAGAGTTTTCTTTCTTTTCTTTTTTTTTTTTTTTTGTTTGTTTGTTTGTATTTTGAGACAGGGTTCCTATGGCCCCAACTGGCCTGGAACTCACTATGTAGACCAGGCTTGAAGAGTTTTTTAAATTAAAAACTATGATAAAATACACAACATAAATTTATAATTTTAACCATTTTTAAGCATGCTATGGCTTTTTGGGCATTCACAGTGTTGTACAACCACTACTATTGTCCATCTCCAGGCCCTTTGCCACCCATTAAACCCCATTCTTGTTTGTGTTCAGCCCCTGGAAAGCACAGTTCTGCTTTCTGTGTCTGTGAATCTGACTCTAGGTTTTTACATCCATGGAATCAATCATGTTTGTCTTTTTTGTGACTAGATTATTTCATTTATCATAATGTCTATGAGGCTCATTCATGTAGGAATATGTATCCAATTTTCCTTCCTTTTAGAGGCCGAGTGATGTTCTTTTCTGTATGTGGACCATATCTTATTTCTCTATTCATCTCCTGGTGGACCCTGGGTTCTTTTTAGTTATTATGAATAATGCTGCCATGAACACAGGTGTACAAATCTCTTTGATACTCTGCTCTCAATTCTTTTGAGTACACACTCAAAATGAAACTTCTGGTTCATGGTATCACTCTATTTTTATTTATTTATTTTTTGAATGAACCACCAAACTGTTTTCCATGGCAGCTGCATCATTTTCTCTCCCTACCATCTTCACACAGTTCTGATTCCTCCACATCCTCACACACTAACTTATTGTATGTGAGAAAGTATACAATTTTTTATAACATCCATCCTGATGAGTATAAAGTGACATTTAGTGGTGGTTCCTAATTGCATTTCCCTAATGATTAGCAACACTGAGCATATTTTCATGTATCATTGGCTACCTATATGCTTTTGGAGACATGTTTG